GAAAAGAGAGGATGCGGTTTATACTGTGAAAGTCCGCTGTCACTATAAGCTGATTTACGCACAAGCCGCCATCCCTGGTTCACCATGGCATGGAGCACTCGGCGGATATCGTCGAAAACGTCCGACAAATTGTTGTATGACTGAAGTTACGACTCTGTAGGAAGACAAATTTACCAGGGCCTTAATTTGCATCCTCAAAACTTTGTCAAGCAACTCGCAACCTCTACGCCTCTGCATCATTTACTGTCCTTTTAACAACTTTTCTTGATCGGATTGGCAATCTAGACTTGAGAAACGTTTGCAACGAAACGACATGATCGTCTTATATGATAAAGGGACATTTTCCCTTTCCTCATAGGTAGGCCTGAACGCACGTTTCCAAAGTTCCATCAGAAATTTGGTCCGGTTAAATGTGGAGGTTAATATTTATGACACATTAGTTCAAGCGACTGTGCACTGTCCGATTGTTCAGTTTGGTGGAAGATGCAATGGTCAAATTTGACGCTCAGCACATTTACGCAGGATCATCTTTCATTGTTTAAAGATGGAATTTTGTTATTCCAACCAGGATGTTTACAGCGTTAACTGCTTTTGTTTGTGTCAGAATGGGTTATCTTCAATGTTGGATGGCCTGTCACACTGTCAAAGTCTTCAGAATCCTTTGAGAGATCTGTTTTGCAGCAAAACGTGATGTTTACATCTGCGGGTTGAAAGCACTTTCAAGGGTTCAGCCCGATAACTGACACCAAATTCTAAAAGGTAGATGGCGACTTTATGTGAGAACAAGCAGTGTCGCCTTGACGATACCCTTTAGAAGCAGGCAAAACTGGCCCAATTGCGGCATTTGATGTGAATCTAAACGGAAGGGCCTTTGCGGTTTCTGATCGCATTTGCTACCTGCGGACGGGAGGACCTAGGTTGAGAGTAAGATGAAGATTAATCTTGCTGCCTACATTAAAGGACTGGGTTAACGCGTGTGATGGAGCAAGAGAGCAAAACTGAGACCTTATAATGCAGGGGAACTGATGAGTTTACAATTTAAAGTTTTACCAATTAAATTATACAGAATACTATACTAGCATCAACGACATCGGAGTTGGTTTGTTTGCTTAAAAAGGAAGAAGAGCAAGGCGGTTTGGAGAATTACCCATGTCAAACCTTTTTTCGGACATTACCATGGGAATGGCTCTGTCCTAAGCGTTCGCATGCATATTGAAAAAGAAAATAGAGACAGGAATGGCCATTTGTGACTTATTAGCCGTCATCAGCCGGTCATAAGCAACCCCACGTGTGGATCACTTGAGATTCTAACCCGGGATCTTTGGTCATGTAGTTTGACAATCTACCATTGAGTAACGGACCCGTTGTCCTGTGAGTTGTGATTCGGAATGCCAATTATGACAGATGGGCGCTCACTGATTAGGTTACGGAACATGCTCTTTCCGTTGTGTCTTGAGGCTCATATTAAAACCCCTCCGGCGGGCGACTAGTAGTAGTAGTAGTAGTAGTAGTAGTAGTAGTAGTAGTAGTAGTAGTAGTAGTAGTAGTAGTAATAGTAGTAGTAGTAGTAGTAGCAGTAGTAGTAGTAGTAGTAGTAGTAAAAGTAAATGAAATTCTATCATCAGTGACAAGGGATACCGGAATGGCCATTTCCGGCTTATTACCCGTCACCAGCCAGTCATACCCAAACTCAGTGACCCACCTTCTCGCACGTAAGCATTCCCGCTCAAAAATAAACCAAGCAGAAACACCTTAGTGAGTTACGGTACCGCCCATCATGTCGCTCTACAGAACTCGGACAGTCGGTGCTTGCTCCTTGAAGCCATGCACTCGGATGGATTGTGCATCAACCGACATATCGAATTGGACGCCGCGTACAGTCTCAAGGAGAAATGGAAAAAAACGAAAGGCTAGATGGTAGTTGGTAGCCCTCTCGGTACCGAAAACTCCCAGCTACCCGTCTTACGGGACCGGTGGTAAAAGGAGATATGCGGGTGGGGCAGATGCGTGGAGGCGTAAATGGCGCTTGTAGGGTATGCCTGGAAGTGACGCTCCTGGCAAAGTGGAAGCCTAATTTAAATAAGGTTAAAAATGCAAGGAGGGTATAGAAATAAGCATGGATAATTAGTACGGTATGAGGAATAAATGCATCCTTGCCCCAGATTGGAAAGAATAGCAAGTGAAAGCGAACAATCAATAGGAAGAAGGCAGTGTGTCTTAAGGTCATTCCGCAGTATGTGCGATAGTACTCTAACCGACAAAATGGACATGAGAACACGAGAGTCAAGCAGCGGCACGCAGGACGGCATAACGCAAGCGGGGTAAGAATTTAATGCGAAAAATATGTTTGGGCGAAAGAGAAAATCTGCAAATAATAGTGTATTGTCACTGTGGCCACATCAGGGATTTAAACTATGGCAGTAGTTGTTTGATATACGTGAATGGTGTACAATACAATGTAAAGAGGAATTAGCATTCTGTATATGAAGTTACACTTTTTTCTGCTTGCAGAGTCCAGTCTCTAAGAAGGCGAAGGAAAGCAGGACCGCAAGTGGATAGGCCGACAGATTATTCGCGGATCCTGGAAATAATCCAGTCGTCCTACCTAGTGCAGTATCTCCAGCAGAAAGGACTACTGACCTGTAGGGTCTTATGTAGATGTCGAAAGGTCATGCCCTTACAAATACTGCGACAGCACACGGATGATTATGCCTTCAGGTAACCTCTGGGTACTGTGGTATGCAGCCTAGGATAGTACCTCTAAAATGAATCAGATACAGGTAACACAGTGCGCGCATGCAATTAGAACCATTATGAGAAGCATGATGAATCATTTTCCGCCTAGGATAAATCTTTCGTCCTTTACTAAAGATTTCCGTGTAGGGGTGCAATACAAGGAGTCTATATAGACATTTCTGCAGCGCCTCGTTCTCGAGGCGGTTAAAATGAGGAAGAAAGTCATCCTGACAGGGCTTCTGCGCGTGCACTCCCAGACATAATGAGAACGTAATCACAGAGCTTGAAATCGAGCCAGTAAGTACAATCGTAGAATCAGTGGGCAGGGCTACCAACTACCATCCTACCAAACGAAAAGTAATCGGGACAGAATGACAGATAGCGGCTACTCACGGGCGCAAACGCCAACCATTGTCGATTTCCAAGTGCACTGACAGATGTTAACTGATGTCGGCACATTCACTCTCAGTATGCGTCCGATGACGACCTGGGGAATCAGCGTCGAAAAATTACGCAGAAAAATTTCTTTTCCCAAAGAAGACATTCGATCTCAATAAATATATATATATATGAAATCACGAGTACAACTCGATTTTTCCGAAGAACCTCTTCCTGATTTCGTTATATCGACTCGGAATGCATAACACCTCTGATCTACAATATATATATATAGGCAGAATGGTATTACCGAAAAAGACAAGGGAGACTGGAATGGCCATTTCTGGCTTATTAGCCGTCGTCAGTCAGCCATCTCCAAGCCCGAAGTGTGGAGCACCCGAGCCTCGAACTCGCGACCTGTTGGTTTAGAAGTCCACGCCTCTATCCACCGGGCTACGAGCCCGTTGCCCTGTCGGTTTTCGATCGGGAATATACAATGTTAGGGGGCGCTCACCGATCGTTCATACGGAACTCACTAGTTCCGTTGTGCCTTAAGGGCTCTCTCTCGAGCCCAACCAGCAGCCGCACAGCGGCGCATGATATATAGGCAAAATGATATTACCGACACCTCGGGCTTGGGTATGGCTGGCTGACGACGGCTAATAAGCCAGAAATGGCCATTCCATTCTCCCTGGTCTTTGTCGGTAATATCATTCTGCCTTTATATATATATAATATATATATATATATATTGCATAGGTAGACCGCTATGAGTACGACAGGCCAGACGCAGACAGCTGTTTCACGGTCTTAACCGGACATCAGTACGTCATAGGCCTTATGAAGTGAGGTATATGTTCATGTCAAGTGGGCGTTTGACGCTGACTGTTGTGATTAGGATCTTACTCGATCCCATTCTGTCCGCCAATCCACTTGCTACTGCCGACAACGAAAGCTGTGTCATAGGACATATGCCGCATATAATACAGAGGCAGCTCGCTTAGAGTGCAACAGGCCGGACGCGGACAGCTGGTTCACGGTCGTCTTCTTTTGTCAAGTATATTAAAAATCGTCCTGAGGCTGCCTGTTGAACTTCAAATCGAATCTGAAAGCACGACGGAATGAGTAGGTGCCGTAACGCGATCGGTGAACGCCCTCTACGACAATTAATATGCCCAATCGAAACTGACGTGAAAACGGGCCGGTGGCCCAGCGTTTAAGAGCGTTCGACTTCTTACAAACAGAACACAGGTTCGAACTTCAGGAGTTGCGGAGCTGGCTAGTGACACCCAATAAGCCAGAAATGGTCACTTAACTCTCCCTTGTCTTTGTCGGTGGTCCTCCTGGGTACGTAAACATATATAAGTCTATATTTACATTCACGCACTTATGTATATGCAAACACGTTGAAGTTAAGTAAGTTGTTTTAGAAAAAGGAATTCGTTTTTTTTTTAAACTTTCGACCCCTTTTATCGAAATGGTTGTCAGACGCAGAAAAAATGTACCAAAAGTAGTAAACATGCTAAATGTACTTAAAAAAAACAGTATTTACTTGGCATTTATGCCAGTGAACGGTGGCCGTCGGAGTCATCCTCTTCTGCCTCACAGTCCTCTCTTCCATTCCTCCCTGAGATTTTGTACGCGGTAGTTAATCCCCTATGCCGGTTGGTGGCTAATGGCTGCAGAAAACTCTCGACCTTTCTTCAAAGGGCAGACACTGACAATACGTGTTGTGTCCCAACCAAAGGTGTCCTCCGTGTCTAGCGTCGGAAGGGCTACTTTCAACTGCTGGTCTTGCCCCTTTACTGTCAGTTGATTTCCATAAATGCAGGTAGAGACGGAATTTTCTGTTTAACCACAATAAACTGCATCATATGCTTCACATGAGATTTTTTTACAATAACTTCCCTCTTACCCAGATAACCATCCGTGTCCTTATGGTGCACAAGTCAGGAGCGTTGGCATGTGTGCCATTTTAATCTGGCATAAGGTTTCTTCTGACTCTGCCTGTCCCATGCATCGGGGTAAAAAGATCTTTCTGGCACCCATTATGAGAAACAGTTCACACAAGTTTGTCACTTCGGCTTGGTAGCCCTCTTTATCAGAAAAATGTGTTTTTACTCGACTAGGCAACGCAAGCTGTTGCTCAGCGGAGGTTAAGAGTGGCTAGGGTAAAGAAAACACCTTAATTTGGACGTTTACAAATCGAGTACCTTACAGTTTTCGGTAATACTAACTTACATGGCCGCCTAAACAGGACTTCGAAATGGGAACATCCCACCCAAGCAATAAAGTTGGAACTCGGCATGATGCCGGAAAGAGCGAAATATTCCTGTTTCTTAACCCCCACAATAACCCTAATATAAAACCAACCCGTTGCCCCAGTTTCGACCCTAGACCTACCCCAAACCTTAACTCTGCAGTTAACACTAGTCCCAGTCTTAATCCTAAACTGTATCCCGATTTACTGTCGACTTCGAAATTAGCCCTAAATCTGATCCTTAATCTCATCTGAGACCTAAGCTTGAACCGTACCCTAATTTCACTGGAAATTGGCTCAAAACCACCCGCACTACAGGCGGTTCCTGTTCTCGTGTTTCGTTTAGGAGCCATACATATCAGTCTTACCCAGTTTTGTATAGATTGTCCAGCTGATTGGGCAGTTGTTTCAGGACGCTAGCAAAACATTCAGTGCACTGTACAATTATTTTCCCAAGCCAAAGCGTTGTGGTTTTGCTCTAAAAAATAATTGATCTTAGGGGTTCCTGGCTTGCGGACTTTCCAAAACCATGCAGTCGCCGCGGTCAGGTGTTTGAATGAAGGGTAATGAACAGCACTCTGTCAACTCCTCCTTCAACTTCTCTCTCAGTATCATGCTACTTGCACCTCGATTTCATCAACAATTATGCGTCACGCAATCCTTGCCAACAGCTATCCAAGGACCGCTGAGTAATTGATTCGCCCTAAGACTGTAGATATAAACGAAAATGTAGGTCCGAAGAGACAGAGGAGAAGGTCTTTCAGGCTCACTTAAGTTACAGGTAACCTGCCCCAAATGTGATCACACTTACGGCTCCCGGTAGGACCACGTAGCTCAGGTGGCCAGGGCCTTGGCTGTATTCAAGACTATCTCTTTCTGTCGCGTGTTCGAACCCCACTCAGGTCACCGCGTTGAGTCCAAATGAATTGGTATAAATCTGTCAAAATACCTAGTAAAATTTTGCCGGTTTTCCCCTAGGCCCCTATTCGCGTACGGTGCCAAGTATTCCTCTGACCTGAACGCATGTTAGCCTTTTGGAAAGAAATGTTATGAGGATTCTGTCGCAGTTCGACTTCTCATACCAATAGCACTATGATCCGCTCTGAGCATCTGAATGGTACATCAAATGTCACCGGGAGTTTAATGGACCCCGCAGGTGACTGGCCGTGAGTTTGTGTGATTTTTAATCTCACCGTCCTGATAAGTTTTGCTTTTTCGCCTGGTTGCATCGGATAGCCATCCAGCCCACGAAACCATTAGCTTCTCTTTTTTTACATAGATGTCCTTTGGACGGTCTCCTACCGATCTTACCTTCTCGGCTCAGACCTAAGTGATAGCAAAAACCCGGTAGATGCGCGTGGAAGATCGATGAGCCGATAGGCCGCGTCGGCATTTAAAAATCGCGCTTCAGATGTGACGGTTTTGCGCTTTGAGCAGTATCGGCCTGGCACTTCGGCTCTTCAGATTTTAAGCAGGCGCACACGCATTACGTCGACCCTAATAAGAAGGGGGGGGGGAGACCGCCCGAGGAACTCTCAAAATTTAAGAACGTTGGCTGAAGTTAGTTAGCTGCGTAATCTAGTTAATTAGGACAGGGAATGAAGCAATGAGAATTCCAGGCCAATCTGAGGGAAAATGTCGTCCGCCTCTTGCTAAAGCTCCCCGTGTTATTTCCTCTTCGCTCACGCAACTCAGCTGCTATATGAGTTTCCTCCAACGATCCAGCGTTAAGGAGGGCGGGGGGGGGGGAGGTTTCGTGCATCATATGAAACCAACTTTCCCTGATCCAACCTGTTTCCTCAGCGGAATATGGGCGTTCCCTTCGCCCGTGAAATTACGTCAAATCAGCATTCAGAATAGCGCATAGAACGAGAAACCACGAGCCAAGATCTGTTCTGTCTTTGCTGATGTCGTAACGCCGCTCACCGCCATCCCCTTCCTGCCCACCTCACACTTAACGACGTATAAGCAGTCATTCCATCGCTCATCCCAACAAGATTAAAATGAAGTTCATGCAGCAGGGTGCATTAGTTGGAAAAGTGACTTCAGAAGCCTAGTTATGATACTCAAAAGCCAAGCTTGCCTGAATTGCCGATACAACCGAAGATGCGAGTTCCAGGAGTTGGTTGGCCAGAAGGGGAAGAAGAAGAAGAAGAAGAAGAAGAAGAAGAAGAAGAAGAAGAAGCTGTCGATGAACTCATCATCAGAGGCAGTGGCAGAAAAGGGTGACTCGAGCACAGGGAATTGCACTATTTATAGGATACAGTCGCTATACTGCTGCATACCTATGTTAAGTAACCATTCTCTCTTTCATCGATTATTGTTGCCCGCTGGTGCGCTAATTGCTTGATGACCGGCATGCAAGTTGTTAATCGATGAAATCTCATCACCCGTGTTGGATGAGGCCGGAATTCTCGCGAGGGAATCATCGCGTGAGTCGCGAATTGCTTGAGTCATGGTTCGCGGGAGCTCAGTCTATCAACAAGTGCAACGGCATCCCTACTCCATATTCTGTGATGAGACATAGGCTGGCCAAAGTAATTGACCACTCGGGGAGGGCGCAAGCCGGTAAGTCAGATGACCGAGCAATCATCACGCCAGCATCCAACACGGGTGATGAGATCTCGGCAATTAACAACTGGCATGCCGACCATCAAGCAATTAGCGCACCAGCGGGCAACAATCCTTGATGAAAGGGAGAACACTTAATTACTAGAGGTATGCGGTAGCATAGCGACTGCATTCTATAAATACTGCAATTTCCTGTGCTTTAATTACCCCTTTCTGTCATTGTCTCTGATGAAGGGTTCAAGTGAGAATCCGAAACGTCGGGCGAATAAGTCTCTTGTTCCAGCGATTGCTCCTTCTTCTGATCAGCTTGTGTGAATTATTGGTGGTACAGTCGGCTTAGGTTGACAGTTTTCAGCTTTCCCCCGCCCCCTCGCCACTGCCAAATCTTTGCTCTCTCCCTCTCTTTCTCTCGGCCAGACGCCGCTGCAGCCCTATGACCGCTGGCTCCACTTTCGCCGAACCCAGCTAGCGTCCAAATTTTTATTTACTCCACCCCCATCCTTATAAAAATCCGTTCAGTTCCGCTGAATCACTGCCTACTGCCCCTCGTGCGGGTTCAACAGGTAAGTCAGCCTTTTTTCCCGTACGGGCGAAGAGGAAGTTTAAATTCTGCTTCAAATACCGGGGGGTGGGGAGTGGGAAGGTTTCGCGTGACCTGAATCATTCCGAGGTTAACTGGAGCAGCAAAAACGCACGCCAGCTTTTTATCCGCAAGGAAAACCGCAGTCCCTACACTTGACCCATCAGTAAGCAGAGGACTTTTTTAGTGAGGGAATTTAATGGCCTAGACGTTGGAGGATTGTGGAAGGGAGGAAATCTTGGACTCGCCGCCTGCGATTAAATGGTCTGACTTATTAGTGCAGCTAAATGAAAACGACTCTAAAGACGATCAGTATTTAACTTAAGGTGGGGGTCCCGTCTAAGTCAACGCCGTTACGCTAAATGCCACTGTGTAAAATACCCCTCTTGAGTAATAGCACCGCACCAACCGCCAAATTCGCAATCAGTGCCCCGTGGAGCCCGTTCTGTTGTCGAATTAGTGTTATGTCAGTCTGGCTGTGTGACAGGAGCCAACTCTGAAGTTTAACACAACTTGATGCAAAGAGCTTTTCAGATGCTGAGGAAATCAAATACATGCGACCTAAAGGAAACCCAATGCCTCCTCTTTCAAAATAAGGACAATCGCTTTGGTTACGTCGAATGTCCGTTGTCGAATCAGGTCATTTATCAAGCCAGGAAACTTTGCAGCTTCGTTGAACACATGCATTTGAAGATCCCACTGGAAACCTACTGGCTACAAAGTGCCTCGAAACTTCGCGAAGGTTGTGCTTCAGTTTTTGTGTAGAATCCTCGAGCATGTGAGGCGAGGCCGTCTCCTATTTTACTCTGGTGCGTTTGGAGGGAAAACTTGGCTGTGTGCGCGCGTGTGTGGCACGCGTAGACGTCTTCTTTGATCTTACTGGCAACTGCAGCCGCGCCCACCTCCGATTGTCTTGACTTTGTCCTGCTATCAAAGCAAGGTGAATGAGAGGAAAGAGGGTTCGGTAGATGTCGCGCAAGTCCACCTCACCACAAAAAAATTAAATCCCCGTGTCACCACTGGTGGGCCCACCTCGTCGTATAACGGTGAGCATCCCCGCCTGGACGACCGAGCTGTCAGGAATAATTGACCTCTCTGCATCGACAGAGGATGTCAGGGGCCGAGGCGGCGCTGATGAACTTTGGCTCAATGAAAGGATTATAATCCATCTGGCAGACGCCGTAGGCGGACCATTTAGTATGCGCGCGCGCACATGACTGTGCTCCGGTCCCAGATGTGGCAGTCCGCATCCGCGATCGCCAGCGATCGGCCACCTACTCATGTCGTCTTTTTGTGCGCCGCTAGATGCGAACAGAGGAGTTCCAGGAAGCGGTTTAGATGAAGATGAAGATCCGATCAGTGGAACAGGAATTTTACTGGCCTGACGTTTCGGATTCTCACTTGGAGACGGTAGCAGATAAAGGTAGTGGAGGCACAGGGACTGCAGTATTTATGGTACGTACCTGCCGTGCGGT